TATATATTTTTTAGAGACAGAGTCTCACTTTGTCACCTTCTATAGAGTGCTTTGGCATCACAGCTCACAGCAACTTCCAGCTCTTGGGCTTAGTCAATTCTCTTGCCTCAGCCTCCTGAGTAGCTGGGACTACAGATGCCTACCACAACATCCACCTGTTTTTTTGTTGCAGTTTGATGGGGCTGGATTTGAACCTGCCACCCTCGGTATATGGGGCTGGCACCCTACTCACTGAGCCACAGGTGCTGCCCGGTTATTACATTTTTAAAGGATTGTTAAGACAAACCCAAAAAGAAAAACGTATACTAGAGACAGTGGCCTATAAAGCAGAAAATCTTTACTATCTGACCCTTTACCAAAAGAGCTTGCTAACTCTTAGTGAAATAACTAGGTGGCAATATATGGCACCTAGTGTCATAGGCAGTATGCCAGGCAATATTTTACATGTATTAATTAAACATCACAACAACTTATAGGGTATATAGTATTATAATCCCTCTCTTACAAATGAAGAAACTGAGTCACAGGTTTACTTAGTAGCCCAAAGTCACATAGTGGCCTCGCCTGAATTTGAACTTTTGCCATGGTTCCTGGTCATAACTACTCTGAAAGGCACACGGTTCCCCACCTCGCTTCTCTTTCCTGTTTGCACATTACAGTGTTTTATCCACTCACACCACCTCAATCTGCTTTCAGATGACAACAATGGAAGCAGTGGAGTCCCCAGAATCTCTGGCTGCCGTTGCTTATCTGTTGAACCTTGTCCTGAAGCGGTGAGTCCTGGCTCCTGTTTGAACCCTAAGTCCCTTTTAGAGGGGTGAAGGGAATGTGGACAGGAGAAGTAGGATCAGGGAATTTTTTAAAGGTACTTTATTTTTTAAGATGAAAAGTTCTTGAGATTAGTTGGATAATAGTGTGCATAACGTTAACGGTACTAAATTGTATACTAAAAAATGGTGGTTAAAATGGTAAATTTTATGTGTATTTTACTGCAATTAGAAATTTAAAAATAGGCTCGGCGCCTGTGGCTCAAGCGGCTAAGGCGTCAGCCACATACATACACCTAAGGTGGCAGGTTCGAATCCAGCCCTGGCCCGCCAAACAACAATGATGGCTGCAACCAAAAAATAGCTGGGCATTGTGGCGGGTGCCTGTGGTCCCAGCTACTGGGGAGGGTGAGGCAGGAGACTCGCTTGAGCCCAGGAGTTGGAGATTGCTGTGAGCAGTGAAGCCATGGCACTCTATCCAGGGGGACAGCTTGAGGCTCTGTCTCAAAAAAAAGAAATTTAAAAATAAAATAAAAAGCTTAAGAAGATACTTGTGTATCAGGTGCATTCTGCAACATCAGGTCCCTAGGCATGGCTTGTGCCACTATCATAGAGATTGTGAGTGTTGGCACCTGGGGAAGGGGCATCCCTGGGTGTGAGTGGGACAGAAGGAATGTGACGGAATGTTGGCCCCAGGCAGCCTAGGGACCTGCAGCCGGGGGAGGTAGAGTGAAGATTGGTGTAAATTTATGAGAGTCTGTCTTGTGGGTGGTACAAAGAATGGGTAGTGGAGAAGGTGAGGGAGGCAGAGCTCTGGGAAGGCACACTGAGCTGGGGGCCAGGAAGGCTGAGCTTCATGGCTGAGTGACTAGGCCAACAGCCATTCCTCCTTCTGTTCAGCTTCCTTCATTATGCCACAGGGGGCTGCCTTTCAGAGGTCCTCTGGGTGACCGTCTATGTTCTCTCCCCACAGGGTTCCCAGCCCTGTGCTCATTAAGAAGTTCTCTGATACCTCCAAAGCTTTCATGGATATATTGTCGGCCCAGGCCAGCAGCGGCTCCACTTCTGTCCTCCGATGGGTTAGTGTCTGGGGCTTAGATTTTCTTCTGGGGTCTTCTAGAGCCCATCAGATTTAGTTAAACCTCAGATGCTCTTTGGGAGGGGGTTAGCACTCCTAAGATACTCAGACACATCCCTTTGGAATTTTCTGGAGTCATTGGCAACCTGGGCTATTTCCTTCTGGAGGAGGCTTTTGGAGCTGATGGACTCTGACTTTCTTCTTCAAGGTCCTCTCCTGCCTGGCCATCCTTCTGCGGAAGCAAGACCTGGAGGCTTGGGGTTATCCCATGACACTCCAGGTGTACCATGGGCTGCTGAGCTTCACAGTGCATGCCAAGCCAAAGGTGAGATGGCTCAGTCCCTAGACAGGAGTGGGGATCACTGCCAGTTTGCCAGTACTTAGAACAGTGCCTGGCTTGGTGGCCACTCAGTATTTGCCAGATAACTAGATAAATGAATAAATCTTGTTTTCAAGATGAGCCTCAGCCTCCTGACTATAAAATTGGGATAATACCATTCTTAGCACAGGGTAGTAGGGAGACTTTAGTTCAAGTAGTTGGGATGCTCAGGGCCATTTGGTGAGTTAGTAGTAGGGCAGGGATTTGAATAAAGGTTTGTCTAGCTTCATAGTTTAGGATTCTATACATATGAAAACCCTGGAAACACATTGGGTATATCCTTTTAGTCAGTGCTTATTGGTGGCTAGTTGTGCCAACCACCCAAGGTGCCATTGAATGCTGAACTGGCTTTGTTCTCTTCTCCTTGCCTTTCAGATCCGGAAGGCTGCTCAGCATGGAGTATGCTCAGTCCTCAAGGGCAGTGAACTCATGTTTGGTGAAAAGGCTCCTGCCCATCATCCTGCTGCTGTTTCTACTGCCAAGTTCTGCATCCAAGAAATTGAGAAGTCTGGAGGTGGGGACATCAGATTGAGGGCAGTCACATGGGCATTGGTGACCAGTGGAGAAGGACAGGGTCTGCTACAGAGAGCAGGCTGGTGTCTCAACTCCCCTTCTGTCTGCCAGGCTCCAAGGAGGCCACCACCACACTGCACATGCTGACACTGTTGAAGGACCTGCTTCCCTGCTTCCCAGAAGGCCTGGTGAAGAACTGCAGTGAGACTCTCCTCAGGGTCATGACCTTGAGCCATGTGGTGAGTGCAGGCTTATTATTTTTTTTGCAGTTTTTGGCCGGGGCCTGGGTTTGAACTCACCACCTTCGGCATATGGGGCTGGCGCCCTACTCCTTTGAGCCACAGGCGCCACCCCAGTAAGCAGCTTTAAAGACACATTAAAAATGATCCCTTGAGCTGGGATGGTGGCTCCTGCCTAGAAGGCAAGGAGGGAGAATCCCTTGAGGCAGTAGTTCATGACCAGCCTAAGCTAGAGCAACTCCTTCTCTCTAATGAAAATATAAAAAGGCTCAGTGCCTGTAGCTCAAGCGGCTAGGGCACAAGCCATATACACTGGAGGTGGTGGGTTTCAATCCAGCCTGGCCCTGCCAAACAAGGACAACTATAACCAAAAAATAGCTGAGTGTTGTGGCAGACACCTGTAGTCCCAATAACTTGGGAGGCTGAGGCAAGAGAATCACTTGAGCCCAAGAGTTGGAGGTTGCTGTCAACTGTGATGTCATGGCACTCTACCCAGGGTGACAGCTTGAGACTCTGTTTCAAAAAAAAAGAAAAGAAAATATAAAAAAATTGACTGGGCATGGTGGCTCATGCCTATAATCCTAGCACTCTGGGAGGCTCAGGTGGGTGGATTACTTGAGTTCAAGAGTTCCAGAATAGCCTGAGCAAGAGCAAGACCCTGCCTCTACTAAAAATAGAAAAACTGTGGCAAGAGGATTGCTTGAGCCCAAAGGTTTGAGGTTACTACTCAGGAGTGAGGCAGGAGGATCACTTAAGCCTGGGATTTAGAATTAGGGTTAGAGCTGTCCAGCTTGGCAACATAGTGTAACCTCATCTCTAAAGAATAAATAAATACGGCTCGGCGCCTATAGCTCAACCGGCTAAGGCGCCAGCCATGTACAGCTAAGGTGGCAGGTTCGAATCCCCAGCCCAGAGGTTGCTGTGAGCTGTAATGCCACGGCACTCTACCCAGGGGGACAGCTTGAGGCTCTGTCTCAAAAAAAAAGAATAATTAAATACAAATTTAAATATACCATATAAGGCACTAGAGTACCAATGGATTTTGGTATCCATGAGAGGGGATCTGAGAACCAATCTCCTTTGAATTTCAAAGGCCCTTCTGTCTGTTCTCTTACAGTGTTTACTCTTTTTGTTTGTTTGTTTGTTTGAGACAGAGCCTCAAGCTGTCCCCCTGGGTAGAGTGCTGTGGCATCATAGCTCACAGCAACCTCCAATTCCTGGGCTCAAGCGAGTCTCCTACTTCAGCCTCCCAAGCAGCTGGGACCATAGATGCCCGCCACAACGCCTGGCTATTTTTTGGTTGCAGCCGTCATTGTTGTTTGGCGGGCCCGGGCTGAATTCGACCCCACCAGCTCAGGTGTACATGGCTGGTGCCTTAGCCACTTGAGCCACAGGCGCGAAGCCGTAGTGTTTACTCTTGTGTCTTAAGATTGTGTTAATAGGCTAGGCACCTGTGGCTTAAGTGGCTAAGGTGCCATCCACGTATACCTGAGTTGGCGAGTTCAAATCCAGCTTGGGCCGCCAAACAACAATGATGGCTGCAACAACAACAACAACAACAGCAAAATAGCTAGGCGTTGTGGCCGGCACCTGTACTCCCAGCTACTTGGGATGCGGAGGCAGGAGAATCGCTTGAGATGGAGTTGGAGGTTGCTGTGAGCTGTGATGCTATGGCACTCTACCCAGGGTGACAGCTTGAGGCTCTGTCTCAAAAAAAAAAATTGTGTTATATAAATAATGTGATTATTATTTAAAAGGAAAATCCATTTAAAAGTATGTAAAGTAAAAATCTGCTTCCTTCCAAATCTCGTTTACTAAGGTAAACAGTGCAATGACTTACTATGTATGGTTTTAAATATTTTCTCTTTGGATAAACAAACATACATTAAAAAACATAGAAATATAGCTGTAGATATAGTATGCAGACCATTTATAACCTGCTTTTCTGGCTATTGTGTTAAAAACATTTCACTAATGTTTCTATCTTTGTTTAAGTCATTTAAATTTTTTTTAGTGACTACCATGACTTACTAAAGTGACAGTGTCTGGGTGTGGGGGCATGTTTTCGGGTTCAGGGGTCCTCAGCTCCCTCTTAACCCTCTGGGTAGAGTGGGAAGTCAGGGATTGAGGGCAGCTATGAGCTTTGTGGTTCTTCTCTGTGTGTCCTCTGCAGCTGGTGACAGCCTGTGCCATGCAGGCCTTTCACAGCCTCTTCCATGCCAAGCCCAGTCTGAACACCCTTTCAGCAGAGCTCAATGCCCAGATCATCACGGTGAGGCCTGATGGTGGGGGGAAGGGCATTATCAGGCAGAGTTCTCTGGTGGCTGTGCTGGGGGGATTGGTTCTGCTACCTGGCTGCAGAGTGCCCCTGCTACCTGGCTGCAGAATGGGCTCGGGTGCCCCAGTGGAGGAGACCAGTGAACGGACAGACAGACAGAAGACCAGCTACCGAAGTGACATCTGTGTTCTGGGGAGCGGGGTCCTGACTCTTGATCCCATTAGCTCTAATAAACTATTTCAACATGGTCTTGTTCACAGACACCTTGAGCAGGGCACTCAGCCTTTGAGCTCTGTGGATGGATTTTCTGAACATCTATCTACCTGAAAATTGTTAAACCTCTGAAATTTAAACCTCCTGAAAATTGTTTCTAAAATGTGTATGTGGGCTCGGCACCTATAGCTCAACCGGCTAAGGCGCCAGCCACATACACCTAAGGTGGCGGGTTCGAATCCCCAGCCTGGACCCGCCAAAACAACAATGACGGCTGCAACCAAAAAATAGCCGGGCGTTGTGGCGGGCGCCT